GGTCGGAGCCGGGCCTGAGCCGGGCCTGTGAGGCTCCCCCGGCCCCGCTGCTTCCCAGCAGACACTGAAAGGTATTTTGTGAAGTCCCCTCCTTTGTACAGGTTCGCTTCTAAGCTCCTCCGTGGGGAACTTAACGTTTGCAAGGGTCAGGCTGTGTTCACTAAGTTTTTCGTTTTTATAAAACAGCCCTCTCTTCCATCTTAGTCTTTTAAAAAACGTAATAAAAAGGGGACACCACCAGCTTCAGACCTTTAGTGTGCTTACTGATGCTGCTCCATCTGTTTTGGGAAAAAAACAAATGTACGTCTATTTTTAAGCAGAGAACTGCAGCCGTGCTGCTTTATTTGCAAAAGCAGAGGAGTAAGTTTTTCGTTTTTATAAAACAGCCCTCTCTTCCATCTTAGTCTTTTAAAAAACGTAATAAAAAGGGGACACCACCAGCTTCAGACCTTTAGTGTGCTTACTGATGCTGCTCCATCTGTTTTGGGAAAAAAACAAATGTACGTCTATTTTTAAGCAGAGAACTGCAGCCGTGCTGCTTTATTTGCAAAAGCAGAGGAGCTGTTGGCGAAGAGAACGGCAGGTGGAGATCCTCTGGCACATTTTCTGAAAGGACAACTGTACTACGAAGAGGTTGTGGTTTCCTTCTTTTAAGTAAATATTATAAAGCTGACAATTTTCAATACCATTTCAGTGAAAAAAGAGACACCTTAAAAAAACTACAAGAGATGCCTATGCCTGTTTTTTCCCATGAAAATCAGCAGGTGTTCACCCTAAATAAGTTTTTCCTACACTTTCTCCAAGCATGTAGCGGTGTCTTCCAGTTCCCTCCCAGGTCTCCTAAGGATCAGGTAAGTAAGTGGCAGCCTGTCCCTACAGCTAACTTCCAAGCCAAGTTGTTTTTTGGCCAGCTGACTGGCCAAACACACCAGTTATGTGGTACTTGGTCCCTGACCCAAGACACAGCTTTTGATCTTTGCTCCCTATCTAGCCACCAGTTTTGATGAAACTTGTTGAAATGTTTTCAAGGTTTCTGTCCCTGCCCACTTCGGCTAAAATTGGTCGCCCATGTATTTGAAAGTAAATTCTCAGGGAACAGTATAAGACTGGCTGGCAGGTGAACTTAAACCTCAATTTCTTGTGAAAATTAGAATAACTCAGTTCAGGGAGATGAAAAAGAATGTAGTACAAGTACCGATTCGTGTATTTGCAAACGTGACGTGCACGGATTCAGTACTGTTTATAGTGCAGCTAGTGGCACAGTGTAAATCAGTCTCAGGGTCTGCAGCAGGAACAGAATTAACTCACTCAGGGTTTCTGCTTTTTGGGCCCTGTCCTTCTTAATGTTAATTAATTGCCTGATTTTGGCATGATCAAGACTGACCCCATGGAGCAGAAGACATGTCTGATTCTTGATGAGCTGGCTTGGATGTCCATGTTATATACTGCTGTCCATCCCTAAATTTATTCTTTGAGCGGGTTTTATCTTCCAGATTTTTGGATGTATGTCTGTAGTGCCTAAAAATGCATGTTCTCATAGCACTGCAATTTCAGATGCTAGAAAAAATCACTTCCTGATCAGAGCCATATGATTCCTTCTTATAGCACTAAATTCTCAGGAAAGGTGAGAGTACAAGTGCCTCCCATACTTCTGATACTCAGGACAGCTGGTTGTAAAAAGGCACTGGTGTTTTCCCAGAGTTCTTTAAAAAAGCAAAGCCCACAGAGTCATAATGGCTAAGCTCCTGAGACAATTAGTAGTTTAGACAATAGTTTGGACAGTATTAACAAGGGGCGTTTTGTCATTGTGAGGATGTTTGACTGACTGTCAAACTACTTCTCAGTTCTAAGCTTTTGCAGTCTGGTATTGTTTTATCAAAACATACAGAAAATTTGAAGGAAAAGTATAGAGAACAACATTTTAATTTCAATATTGTTTTTACTTAGTATGCTGATATGCATGCATAAAAATATTTTAGTAAGGACACCAGGCTCGGTTAACTGCTACATTACAGTTGTTTCACTGTGTATTTTATATACCATTTCTTCTTTGACTTAACGCAGAAGCAAATGCTCTCTAAGATTCTTTCTTAGAAGTGAAAGTATCTCTGCTGTTGCAGGTGATGCCTTCATAAGAAATGTGGGGCAGACAGGTGGGTCTATAAAGTCTTCAGACACCCGAGTTTAGTCTTTGTGAAACCAACCCTTAATTGAGATGTAAAAGCAGACTCTTAAACCCTCAAGATATAAGAACAGCTCACCTAAGTTAAGGGATATCAGATAGATAGGACAGGACATCTGAATAAGACCCTTATCTCCTTAAATTAAAAAGATGGCATTTTGGGGGAGGAGAAGAAAGGTTGTCAGAACGTCTTTTGGTTTCAGAGATGATGTTTGTATAGCACTACTTATATTTAGGGGTTTTTTTATATATATAAAAACAATGAAAACTTGTTTTAAAGTCCTAAGTGCTTCCATCCTGTCCAACTTTCTCATGGTTGTTGACTTATTCTATTTCTGTTTTCTGCCTCTTCTATGGTTGCCATTTTTTATTCTTTGTTCATGAGGGAAATGCTCCAGGTTGAAAAATTGTAAGAGAGTATATACTGGAGAGTTAAGCTGCCATACGTTCTGTGTATTTCACTGTTCATTCTGTCTTTCCCAGGGATTGTATGAAGAAGCATTAAAACAATTTGAAAAAATCAAGGATACGGATTTTCAAGCAATGTATCAGCTTGGTGTAATGCATTATGATGGACTAGGCACTAAAGAAGACCCTGTGAGTAATCTAGCTGTACACTTTTTTTTTTTTAAATATTAGCTGATAATTACTAAGAGCTTCTTCGTAACCTTGATTATTTAGTTTAAAATAAACAGGTCTTTGATTTAGAATTAGTTTCATAAAGTACAGATGTTTACAAAGCATCATTGAAGAGGGATGGTTCTGGGCTGAAGAAGTTCTCAGAAATAGTTATAATAATATAGGTTTATCTGAAAAAGACTTATGATATTTTGTATTTTAAAATTTAACTTCTAAGGGTTGGTTTGTACTTTGTGTGGAAGCTATGTTTAAAAATTGCTATTTGTTATTTTTTAATAAGCAGCGTACATAAATGAAAATAAAATGTGTAAAAATGGAAATCAAACAACTGTATTTCAAAGTGTAAAACATCTGTTGCACAAAAATGTTTTTTAAGGTACTTTCTATTCTCTTAACACGGTTGCTAAAGAAGATTGTGCTTCTGCCAGTGGTTGGCAGTAATATTTTAAAATTAGACAAATAAAGAATTCTATTTGCAAGAATTTGAGGAATTCAAATTGAAGAATTACATTACCAAAAATGAAGACAAAGGAGTGAATTGCTACCATAAGAAAAGAGTTAATTTATTGGAGAACATGATCTTAAAGAGTGGTATGAGGAAAGAATACAAAGAAGATGAAAGAAAGGGTAGATAACAAGACAGGAGGGCAAGAAAATGAACCGAACAGTATATTAATAAATGGGATTCTTGTCTGGTGCTTAGAGGATTGTCAGCAGAGCAGAATATATTCTGCTGGTTTTCAGAGGTGGTTCGTTTGTTCTGTATACCTGTATAATTACCGCATTGGTTTACTTGCAAATAAACATTTTAGTAAAGTTTCTTTCTTTTTTGTGTATTACAATATGAGAGGTGAATAGAAGGGGAACCTTTTATAAAAGGACTATTTCTAGTGTATTTAAACAGGATGTCCATGCTAAATCCTAACAGTGTAAATCTTGTTTCCAAAATACTTACGAGGTCTTTGGGTGGTACACCATACAGCTGCTCATAGGCAATGTTCTCCATTTGCTTATTTAACATTATCATTTTTTGTATTTTTGTATTAAGGTATTTTTAATAGAGGAACTACAGTGTGCTGTTGTATCACTTTTCCTTCTGTTAAGGTTGTTTTATGATTTCAGATACTTCATGCAATGTGAAAAAGATTACAGTAGTCTAAAATTGAAAATGTAGCAAGTTTAGGATGTGACATTCATTTATGTAATCACAAGAATATTTTTGAAAAAATTTTTATCAATGAAGAAGAGTACTATAATATCCGATGAACATTTATAAGGAAATGTTTCACAGTAAAAATATGCTGGAGTCAAAAATCTAGGGGCTGTCTAGTAACCAAAGATCAGTTCTGCTTTGGTATGACACTGTTCTCCGGACTGTCCTACCAGTATGCCTCAGCTTTTCTTTGAAGTGGAAAAACTATCTGTCTTGCAAAAGTTAGTGGATTCTCAGGTTCTTTATTTCATCCTCTTCCCAGTCTGAATGTAATAATGAAAATACCTCAATTTTAGGAAAAGGGAGTGGAATACATGAAGAAAATTCTCAACTCTGATTCCCCGAAAGCAAGACACTTGAAGTTTGCAGCTGCATACAATCTTGGCAGAGCATATTATGAAGGATGTGGTGTTAAGCGGTCAACTGAAGAGGCTGAAAGGTAATGGCAGTCAGTAATTTTCCTGATGAGTATAAGATGCTAAGATGTTGTGTTACTTAAACTTTCTTTGTCCCCGTTTTCTTAGGTTGTGGCTTATTGCTGCAGACCATGGGAACCCAAAAGCAAGCGTGAAGGCCCAGAGTACTTTAGGAATGCTTTATTCTGTGTCAGTTCTAAAAGATCTGAAGAAGGTAAAGCCCACTTGTACCTTTTGAGTTGCATGAGTCCCAATTAATTTTTAATTTCACAGAAAGAGTACAGTGATATATTTGACTCTGAAAACTGTATTTTAAGTACTGCTAGGCATTATCATCCATTTAAGCCCATATGAACAGATGGCCAGAATCCCTCATTTTGACTCCCTTGACACTGCTAGCCAAGATTTTTTTTTTTTTTTTTTAATTGGGAGTATCAGGGAGAAGGATATAATGGATGAAATTTTTGTCAGCAGCTGTCACTGATTGGCAGCTCTGACAGTAAATGAAGCAGGTTTAAAAGCCTTACAAGGATTCTGCTTTCTTTTATGCGTCAGCACTTCTTATAGGCTGGTTAATGTAAAAGCTTTTATGGAAACAGTATTCAAGAAAAGCAGCTAAAGTGAATATATACTCCAACTTTCTGCCTCTTGTTTAGGCCTTTTTCTGGCATTCAGAAGCATGTGGCAATGGAAATCTGGAATCACAGGGTGCACTTGGTGTTATGTATCTCTGTGGACAAGGTATATGTCAAAACACTAAGGCTGCTTTGGAGTGTTTGAGAGAAGCAGCAGAACGTGGAAACATCTATGCTCAAGGCCATCTTGTGGAATATTATTACAATAGAAAATTTTACTCAACAGCTGCTGCAGTAGCCAAAAGGTGAAGTTAATTTCACTGTATTTTTTATTATAGTTCTTCATGTAAGACCATGGAACTCAGATTAAAATGATTAAATTTATGTTCATCTCTCAAACTCAAGACTTTTGAGATAATGAATGGCAATCCTTCATCTTTAAAGACGGAACAGCAAACCACAGACAAAATTAATAGTATAAGGTTCTCAATTATTCAGTACAGTTGAACTTTTCTTTCTGATCCTGTGAAGCAAAACAGCCTTGAACTAGAATCTCAAGTAGAAGCCCACACTCAACCCTGCCGTCCCATCTCCTCAGTCCACAATCTACTCTAGGCTCCTGCCCTCACCATTCCCTTTTAAACCCCTACAAATATTCTTCATGCTTTGGTCCAGTTCCTGCGTCCTTCACAGGAAATGCAAGCATTGATACTGGGTGGGATCCTGCAGTAAGCACTCTGAGCAGCACGGCCCAGGACCTAGAAGTAGCTGCTGCACACAGTGCCAAGTTATCGCCCTTTAGCTTTTCATCAGTTGCTGCTTATGGGCATGCATACTGCATAGGCATTTTTAAGCCTGGACAAACCTCCAGAGCTGGCCAGCATATGTTAAAAGTTCAGTCTGTCAATCAGATTATTAATTTGCTGGAAAAAAGATGCAGATAGACTAAATGACTACTTATACAAGCTGCACACAATAGCATTTGTGCTTCTTGTGGTATGTTTATGAAGCTGCTGCTGCCCAGCAATAAATGTGTCACAACTCACCATCTTACAGAAGCTGCCCCCTGTATAATACCACTGCATAGCAGCAGCCCTGGTAATTCAGTAGTTCAGTAATGAATGCTGTTTGCTATATTCATTGCCAAAAAGGATTGTTTTCTCTCTGAACTGCTGCTTTTCTTTCTCTGGCACTGTAAGTAGACTGATAGCTATACAGTCTAGTTTAGCTCTTCTCGCTTGGAATGCATCCCCTCCAGTCAATGGTGCACAGTACACTATTCAGATAAGTAAACAGTGCACTTCATCAGCTGCAATTGTGATTGCAGAAAATGGCAATGAAATCCTGTACTACAGCCAGGAATGACAATTTCTGAACCAAAAGATACTGCCACTGAAACAGTTCCACTTAATTGGGATTGCAGTTGGCCTTGAGGCAAAAATCTCATAGCAGTTCAACCACTTGTATCAAGCATCACTACCTTTTCTACCAAAACTTCTTTGTCCTTCTATGTTCATACCAACTACATAGTTTGTTATATTATGTACAAACATACAAACATTATGTGATTATGTACAGTAATGTATGTACATCATGTACAACCTTGCCTAATATTTGGAGTCTAGATTAGCTACTGACACTTCACTTCAAATAACAATTTTGTTATCCCATACAGTTCTACTTACCCATTGCTATGGTATGTTCTTGAAGTCAACTGTGCTGAACTAGAATTTTTGCCTGACTTGACTGGGTATTGCTATTTGCATCAGCATCTTGTGTATCTTTTGGAAAGGAAGGCAAAAATGCTATATCAGGAAAGATAAAAGAGGTAATAGGTTACTGTTATTATATTTGAATGTTCTTGCTAATAAGTCTTTGGGGTTTTTTTTCTGATGTGCTACTGTATTTGTTAACAGGACCAAATTAGGTGGGAGAACATTGCTCTCAACACATTCAAGTGATTTAGCAGGCACCAACTTGCAGAGGGTTACTTCTGAACAATCTTTCATAAATACTGATTTATAGGGAGTAGCTATAAACTGAAGTGACTTGCACTTTTATTTCTTTTTTCTGTCAAGTCTGCTACTGTTTGACACAACAAAAACCTAAAATACTGTGTGAAGAAGCATATAATTATTGTTTGGTATCTGGAAGGGATATGGGGCTTGGGGGTTTCTGTTCTAAGACAACAATTAGACAAAAATCAATTCCCACTTAGAAAATGTTGTACCTAATATTAGCCTGATAGTTAAAACAACGTTCACTTTGTCCCTCTGACTCTTAAAATGGTTCTTAGTAAAAAGAACGTGCTGAAAATAAAGTGACAGCAAGCAGACAGATGCACATAGAAGAAAGAAAATAATTGAGCTGAAACAGTCGTAAGTGGTCGTCATAAGTGGGTCTTATAACCTGAGGCTCCCAAGTATGTCCAAGATCTTCAGCTTACTATAATTTGCCACTATCCTAGGAAGAACTTGGAATTTTAGAATCATAGAATCACGGAATGGTTTGGGTTGGCGTTTCTAATTCCAACTCCCCTGCTATGGGCAGGGACATCTTCTACTAGATGAGGTTGCTCAATTATATGAAATAAGAGCTTTGCCTTTCTTCCACATATATATTAATCTCCATGAAATATTTTAATAGGAACAATTAGCATAAAATATGCTGCTTTTTTAACTAGTGTAACTAGTTAAACAGTGAAAGTGACTGCAAAAGTTACGTATTTGTTTGCTATTTAATATCACAATATTCAAATAAGACTAACTTCAAATCAAATACTGAATAGAAGAATCCTCATCAGGCTGCTGAATACCTGTAAATTTCAGCTTATTTTGGATAATGACATAAATGGAAAGGAGGCATTGTTAAGTCAGATATGGTCGACTTAAATTATTGCTTGAAATAGCATTATCTAACCTAATGCTGTAAATTCCACAGCAGGATTACCGAAAACGATGACATCGATATGCTAGCAAAGATAACTGACTGTCTTCCTACATATGTAGCCAAGGGGGTTGCTATGGCTGCTTTCTACTTGGCTAGATGCCTCCAGCTTGGCCTAGGTGTACAGCAAGATCAAGCCGCTGCTAAAAAATACTATTCTCAGGTAAGCTGGGAAAATCTTACAGGCTAATTTATATCTCATGAAATTGAGTGATACCTTGGATTTGAGTCTTTAAACTTGCTGTTTCATTAAAGACTCCAACATTATTTATGTAAAAAAAAAAAATCTGTGTAAGAAAATGAAGAGAGATAGAAGTATATTGAAAACCACTAAAAATAGTTTTGAAAGGATATTATCTGCCCACTTGCTTAAGCAAACAACGCATTCTGCCAAACAAAACAAAGAAAAAAAAATCTGTGATAATCACCACAGCAGAGAGCTTGGTAACTTGCAAGATAAATTAGCTAAATGATTTCAGTAATTTTATTCCCAACTAATTTGCTGTCTGTCATTCTCTCAAACTGAAAAATCGTAACTTTTCCTCTGCTTTAGATTTTCTAACAAGTACAACCTTCATTAACGATACTTAAATCGGTCATAACTGGTTGTCATGCTTATTTTTATGTTTACATTTTTAGCAATAGCCGAGGATCTACTGTTACTGACACACAGGGGAAAAAATAGGTCACATTTTTTGAAAGTTCTAAAGTTGAAGTAAGATTTATTGCTTGAGGAAAAAGATCAATAATGGCTTCTAGAAGATGAATCTGCTAAATAGTATCAGTGATTCCTAAAGGTACAGTCAAGACAAGATGATTATGACAACTGAAGGGAGTGTAGCAAGATTGGATCTGTGCTTCAGAGATACTCTATGATTTCTGTGCATGTAGAGACCATTTGTTTCTGCAGATAGAATGCTTTGATGTCCAGCTTGGTGCAATTCAAATAAATCAAGAGTTATGTAAATGATAAATTACCAAATAACAATTTTTGTGGCTCCTTACTTAGGGAAGCCACTGATACAAGAGGCCTAGCAGAGCAGGTGATCCTTTGAATACCTACATTTTAAACATTTTGTTCTCCTGCTGTGAAAAGCATTATAGAGGATAGGATTGAGGAGGAGATCAGGAAAGGAATCTAAGTTGGGGTGTTATGAACACGGTAGCCAGTATCCTAGGTAAGTCTTAAGGCATGGAAGAGGCCCATCAGGATTAAATTGCTGCATGGCTTTGTGTGAGTATAGCCCTTCCCACTGTCTTCCATCAGGTCTAGCGTAACCACCACAACTGAAAGGAAATTACAACTGTCAGTCATCATTCACTAGCTGTACGTCTGAGACTGACCTAGGAATGTCACTAGCTTCTTGGTATAAAAAGAGATGATTTCTGTTGACTGGTGCCATGCATCTCTACATCAACAACAAAAGAGAAGGAACAGAAAATAAACAAGGAAGCTACCTGAAGCAGTAACTTTAGAACAAGTAAAAGACAAGAGTTGTAGGTGTGTTCAGTTTCTTTTGTACCTGGAAAATAATTCTCATGTTAACTGTACAATTATACCCACTTAAAATTAAAATCATGTTCGGTTTTTTAATTAACTACTCAGTTGCGGTTTTGGCCTACCGTTCTTAGACCCAGTCAGTTTTGAAAGAGGCGAGAAAGAGAAAATGGGTATCTCGGAGGGTACTGAAATAGATGATAGAAGTGAATGAAACTGATCCAGTCTGTAAGCAGATTTATGTTTGACTGTGGTGCCAGCACAAGCCATACCAACAAACAGGATAAAAAAATAAAACCAAGCCTAACACTATAGACAAGTATGCTCATTTTAAATACTGAATTTTTCTTACGTGGCATCAGAAACAGGGATTTAAACCTGAATGTATTAACTTTTTAATATTTTAACAAGTTGATTATCTCAGATAATGCCAACATCAAAGACCTCATTAATGTTATATTGAAAAGATACAATTTTATTTTAGCTATAAACTAGAACTCCCTATTCTTTGTTTTCAAAGGCATGCCTTCTGGATCCTGCTGTTGCTTCTGACCTTGAACTGGCAGCTAATCTTGGGAGAATTTAGTGTTTCCTTTAACTGTGACTGGTATGTAAATGTACTTCCTACAATAAACCATCTTTAATTTCCAGCAGTTATAGACTGTTCATCACTGCTTGCTTTTCAACTTCCTATAAATTACTACTTAAAGCAATTTACTGATTCTTTTTTATCTGAAAAAAGAGAAAGCAAAAAGCTCACACACTTCCTTTAACTGAGATGAGGCAAAGGCAGACTTTTTAGAATTGTATTGAAGACTCAAGGTTTATTAAGGACATTTTACTGGGACAGATGTCCTGTGTTTTCTTTATGTCCTACTGCTATATAGCACATGAATCAAACTGAAACCAAATAAAAATAATTGTTTCCTTTTCTGCATTTTTAGTATTTAAACATTAAATTTTAATATTCTGAAAAGCTTGAACCCAAACTTGTCTAGTTTTCACATACAACCCATTCACAGGTTACGACCATTTTTAAATCTTACCTTTGTTAGTGGTATGTATACTTTCTTTCACATGCTTTTCTAGTGCATCTAAATCTACTGATGTGTCTTAATACATTTTACTCTTAGACTGCAGAGACTGAAAGTTGGAAATTGGCCTGTATGACACTAAGCTTTACAGTTCAAACCATGTCAACTTCTAAAACTAGAAAATACTACTTGCAGAACTATGGGAAAAAAACATAAGTATGGAAACATTCAATATACATGTCCTCTGCACAAGGCCTGTTCTCCTCAATCCTTCTTCATATTGCATTTACACTACCTCTGTTTGTATTAGAAGTAGTTGAAAACCTTTTGGCTAGGAGTGTGCATGCCTGAGCAATGTTATGCTAAATCTTTTATCAAAAGATACTTTGATTAACCATTAGTAAATTTTACTGATTGCTATGGTAAGCTTGCACATTTCTAAATACCTATTTACTTGTAAAACTTTGTATGTGCAGAATTTGGCTTGCTTCTTAGGACTGTGCCGTGACTTGAAAACTTTCTTGAAACTGTTGGAACAGAAGGCTAGACGTTAGTAAAAATATTGATTTAAAATATAGTGTATGGATTTTATGTACCTTACAATATAGCCAGTCTTAACTGCAAGCAGTTTTTCTAAGAACACAACTGCACTGAATTTAAAAGAAAGTAATGAATGTCACCTAGGGATTTTTGATGATGTTTAATTACTTAGATGTGCATTAAGATCATATTTACATATTTTTACATAAATTAAAAAAACACTCAAGACATCGCTTTCTTTCCTCGTATAAAATAAGGGAAAGATTTGAAGGTTGTTTGAAATCGGGATATTTGAATAAACAGCCCTGAGTAATATCAGGGAAGTTATTAGAATAGTTTAATTAAATGTCTACTTAATAATTCATAGAAGCAATTCATAAGCACTAATCTCTGAACTAACATTTAACACAGGCATTCTGTTAGGACATACCAGTTTACAATACATATTTTTGACACAGACTTCAAAGTAACGTAAATAGTCCTTAAGAAACAAGTGCTGTCAAACTCATTCATTGTCAGTACAGCCTCATTATCAAGTACTGCAATCCAGTTGTGTTATTTATTGCTTACAAATGCTTCAAACTACGGGAAATCTTTGGTAAAAACAAAATTGATAAAATTTTCACAATAGCTTTACATGTAGTATTGCACGACAAGGCTTTTTCAATACACAAGAAAAAAGGAATGCTCAAGTCCTCAGTGAGGAGATAGAACTGTACAACATTCATTAGTTTACGACTATAAGCAAAATTTCTTTTCATAAATGTTTAAAATATTTTCTGGTTTCTTTCAGCTTATATGAACATTTATTTTTCAATCTATATTTGAAACAGAAGAGTAGTCAAATAGAACAATTTAAATAAAAATTGGCAACTATACAGCATTGTTTGTCTACCCTACTACAGCATCAGATCTTTTCAAGTCTGTTTACTTCACAAAAAACTCAAGAGGAAAGAAAAATGCTAAAAATAATCATAGTCCTCAGCCCTCTATGGAAAAGAGGAAATAAGTTACATGTCTATTATTGGACATAGACATTTCTCTAGTGGTCCAATTGTGCAGATTCAAACCTAAGTGGCATTAAGCTGCTCTAAATGAGCTCTTAGCTCAGGACACAGTTCAGTTAGCAGCAGTTCCAGCAAAACCTGAAAAAGAGAAAAGAGTTAAGATGAACGGAGGTACCAAATGAGAATTTCTTTTTCCTTTCTCACATGTTCAGAGCATCACAGATAACAGAAGCATGTAGAGGCATTCTACTCATCATTCATGCAACTACTTTTCTTTCACCCTAAACATTAGTATGCGCCCTACAGATAATATGGGAAATGTCTTAAGGCTGAAAGAAGGCAAGCGCCACGGGCAGCTACTTTCATTTGGGGATTTCCCACCCTGCATAAACTGGTGCTGTTCTGTCGAAGCTGAGGTAACTACATAAGCAAGCGCCAGGGCACGCACCTCCTGAGCAGGCTGCGTCCGCTTCTGCGCTGAGGCTGCGTTATGTGACTGGCTGCTGAAGGAAATGAGTCAGAAGAGACTGAGAGTGAAAGTATTACACTTGGATACAGCTGCATACTCCGACCAGTCCCAACCAACAGTAGAGGAGTGGGACTTCTGGAGGGCTGTCATGTCCTAACTGTGAGCCATCTTTCCCTAGGATTCTTCAAGGTATGTTTATTTTTCTCAGGTATATGAAGAAATTAGTTTGCACCTTATGAAGTCAGGCAAGTCGGATATGGTAGAGGATCCGTTTTAGATAAAAGCAATACTGTTTTTAAACTTAAACAACTTTTTGTTATTCAAAATTAGTCAAATGATGCAACAAAGTACATTTTTTCTGACTTATTTTAATAACAAAAAAGTTACTTGCACATGGAACAATAGTCCAACATAAATCTCTGCAAAAACACACACCCTGGGCTTTAATACTGAGCGAGCAGAGCTCAGCAATTAACAGGATTATAAAGTTCAAAGGCTACTTTTCTGGTTACTCACATAGAGTAGATGCTTGTTAGCCTTTCTTTCTTGCAACGCATTGAACACTTTCACTACACCATGACGGGCATTTTGTTGTCCAACCAGACTCTGCAGAGTATCTGCAACAAATGTTACTTCAGCTTATATTGTTTCACTCACACTAGGCAAAACCTCCAGCTAACACTACTACCCACAAAGGAGGGGAAACAAAGATGCTGCACTTCATGGCCCTTGGTTACAAGATACATAGTACCCATTCACTCACCTTTTAAAAACACATAGGTAACTTAGGTCACAGGTTGAAAAGATACCCTTATTATCAAGTTACCGCAGCTGAATAATAGTGTATGCATCTCAGTGACAACATTTTAAGTGTTTTAATATGATATATAGTATGCCTTTTAGGTAGTTCACCTTGCAGAGTCAAGTCTAATATCATATATTATAGAATCATAGAAGCATTTAGGTTGGAAGAGAGCTTTAAGATCATCAAGTCCAACCGTTAACCTAACACTGCCAAGTCCACCACTAAACCATGTCCCTAAGCACCACATCTACACGTCTTTTAAATACTTCCAGGGATGGTGATTCAACTGCTTCCCTGGGTAGCCTGTTCTAAGGCTTGACAACCCTTTTGGTGAAGA